ATTTCATGACATGGCGGGAAATTTAGTTTCACCATGCTAGTGGAGAAAAGTTAAGACCTCCTTATAAGAGATTCTTTTTCGCATGATATTCAAGCTTGAGAAGAGGAGTGGTTCACACGCGCTTCTTCTCCTCCGCCAGCCTCGCTCGTGCACGTCGTGTTGTGTCAACGAGACGAGCCAAGCTCGCATCAGCTCTGCCTCCTCATGCACAACCCACCATTGTTTCCCTCATTGTAATTGCTTCAGGTGATTCCACCCTACCGGCCGCATGCACGGTTGTATGAGAGGTCGGGTCTCAGAACCCCGTCCTTTGTGATCCTGCACCGAGGTTTTTGGAAGCGTCTCAGGCACGATTGCTCGCTGTTTTTCATCTACTTCGACTACATCCACGACATCGTCACTGGTGAATGCTCTAAGCCACCAAGAAGGACGTCGTTGCCGCCGCGGAGGCTTTATCCTGACCTATTGGAGGGTATATGATCTGTTCATCCCCTAATTACTGGTTCATGTGCTAGGCGTACTTGTTGTTTCCATTTATATTCCGGTTTTATGCTTGGTACATGCTATGAGATTAATATTGTTATTGTCATCATCATGATTTATTTGTGAATTAAACCAATCAAACTTGCTAATTTATCCAACAATAAGTTCATGGTGCGTGTTCATGTAACTATGTAGTTGGTTAGTTATGGTGGATCTCGGTCCTCGTCGGCGGGAGGGTTCCGTTTTCTGGTGTGAGGGTCAAGGTTTGTTGGTGGCGGCGGCTCCTCGTCCAATAAAGTCTCCCCGGCTTTAGTCCCATCTCGGCGGGCGAGAAGCATGTGGGAGTGGTGGGGTTCTCGAGGATTTCTTCTGGCTGTGGGGATCTCCAGATCGTCAAGGAGCTTCATCGACGGTTATTCCTTCTTCTTCGTCCGGGACGAATGTGGTCTTCTAGACTAGTTCGGTGACTTCCTATCCGCAACCAACAATGTCAGGCCGGCTCAAGGAGGAGCGGCAGCAGTGGCACACCGTCTACATTGTCTGGAGGTTGAAGACGAAGGGCATCTCAAGGATTTCGTTGTATTTTCTGTTTTTGTTGAGGTGCTTTGTACTGTTCGATGTTTCTTTTATTGCCAGGGTCCTTTGTGTAAAAAAATGTAATTGGTCAATTATTTTCCATGCAAAAAATATATTTGATTCTTATCCATTCATTCATGAATAATAATAATAATAATAATAATAATAATAATAATAATAATAATAATAACTATAAATTAAAAAAACAGTGCTTCCATGTGTGCCTGGGTTTAAAAAGGATTGGAAGATGCAGGCAAAGGCAAGGCATGCAGTGTACGCTATGATCAGATTCAGGTGGGCAGTAGCTATAAACCAGCCTCTCACAGCCCATGAGCACCGGCATAGTATACCCACCCGCACCGCCACACTATATCTGCCAACTAGGCCGGCAATGGCCGGCCGGGGTCTCCGCGTCCCCGAAGCCGGCAACCACTATACATATATATAGTGCTGCCATTGTTGCGTTCCCAAGATCCAAGCACAAGAAGTTCCTAGAATCCATCGAACCACAACGAGCTCCACGCCACTTACTAGGCGCTACTCTCACACACACACAGTGACACAGTCAGCTTTCGCCTAGGTCCGTCGGTCCAATGGAGGGAGGCGGCTCCAGCAAGGTGGGCTCGCCGGAGGACGCCGCGGCGAGGCGGGCGAGGGAGTACCACGAGTGCAGCTTCTGCAACAGAGGCTTCACCAACGCTCAGGCGCTCGGGGGCCACATGAACGTCCACCGCGACGAGCGCCGCCGCCAAGCCGCCGCACCGCCGGCCGACAGCGGCGGCTCGCAGAAGAAAGGTCCCGGGAGCAGCGAGGAGCTGGACTTGGAGCTGAGGCTCTGATCATTCGTTCATCTGGTTTACTAGCGATCTGGGGCTAAGCTATATCTAGTTATCTACTGAGTTAGTAGTTTCTCGTCTGCTTACTATATCAGCCTAAAGAATCATGTACAGATGTATTACATGATCAGGATGTCCGATCCTTCTTTCATTTTTCGTGTGTGGGTGTGGACATATATATGTGGTGCATCAACATATATAGTGCACGTACATACATATGGAAATTAGGAAGGTATAGTATGTACATACGCTTTTCCTCTCCTCTCCAATGGTATGGGATATGGATCTGTGTATGCTACATAACTGAAGAATTTCTTTAGAGAAATGTTATCGATGCTTGGAAAAATTAATCCACAGGGAATTACTTCATGCTGCATTGTGAAAAAGTATCACGAGAAATATTATTTGACCCAGGACTAACTGTGTGGCATGTATGTTGTTCATCACTTCATGTCCATCACTTCATTGATGATATAATGTGCTCATGTATAAAAGCTATTCCAAACTGAGCAAATATTTTAAGAATTACTCCCTCTGTAAAGAAATAAGTGATCTAAACGCTCTTATATTTTCTTACGAAGGAAGTACAACATATAAAATTCCCCGCAAAAAAATGATCTAAGAATCAAAGCATATAAATTTTGACTAGACAACAGAAGAAATCTAGGAATACTATAGCATTCATACTACAAACACTTCGATTAAGAGCTTTTCATAATTTGCTACTCCAGTTAACCTGCTACGGGAAAAATCTAGAGCCCTAAGTGTCAGATCTCTGAACTCGACGATAATGTTCTTTTCGTAACGGTCTACAGGGGCGAAAGCCCACCTGAACTTTTCCATCACACCTCACCAACTCAGAGCATCTCCAGCCGTTGGCCCCCCAGGGGGCGCCTAAAATCACCGCCTCGAGATGATCCGGCGTAAAAAATGGGCCTGAGGCGAGTTGGCCTCCAGCCGCCGCCCCCAGGCGCGAAAAAAAAATTGTATAGCAAATTTAGGCAAAGTTCGGCTAAAACATGTCAAATTCCGGCAAACTTGGGCTTTATATTCGCGGATTTAAGTCGAGTAGTCGCCATTACATATAAAAACTAATCAAAAATTTGCTGAAGGCCGAGAAGTCGCCGTCGTCGCCGCCATCGTCGGCCTTCTCCTCCTTGACTCGGGCGCCCCTGTTGGACCCCTCCCCAGCTGGTGGCGGCGGCGGCGCGTCGTCGATGATGACGACTCCTCCTTCGTCGCGGCCTCGGCGGCGCTGCGCGAAGCGCCGCAGGGCGGCGCACTGGCGCTCCCTCGCCATCTTCAGGGAGTCCTGGCGTGCCCATTCAAGGGTCGCGTCGTCGTCGAGCTCGACCTCGCCGTGCTCCGTCTTCACCGGCGCCAGCCCCGGCTCCGTCTTCACCGGCGCCAGCCCCGGCTTGGTCTTCACCGGGGCGAGACCTGGCTCCGTCTTCTGCTTGACGAAGCGCGGGGGAGGAGCCGACGAGAAGGCGCGCCGGACGCCCTCGCTGATGACGATGCCGGCGCTGCGAGTGCGCCGGCCGAGCGGCGTCTCCGCCGCGGGCTCGGCCTTGACGCCGAGCAGCGTCGGAGTGCCGGAGGATTGGGACGAAGAGCGCGACGAGGAGGAAGAGGAGGAGGAGCCGAACCTCCTTGGCGCCCATTGCCCATCACGTCGGCGGTGCGCCGGGGCGGCCGCCCTCGCCGGGGGGTACGCCAACGGCGGGTTGTTGCTGCCCTTGAGGTGCGTCAGCACGCCCTCAAGTGTGCGGCCGGGGACGCCCCACCACAGGTGGTGCCCCTCGCTGTTCTTCAGGCCGCCGACCACCGGCACCCCGTTGGTGGACGCCAGCCGCTGCTGCTGGCGGCGCTCGAAGTACGCCGTCCAAGCCGCGTGGTTGTCGACGGCGTACTGGGGGAGGGAGAGCTTGGCGTCGGTGAGGGAGGCGCGCACGATCTCGACCTCGTCGGCGAAGTAGGATGGTTTGGCCACGGCGTCAGGCAACGGGGGAATGGGCACTCCCCCATTGCTGAGCCTCCAGCCCGTCGGCCCGGAGCGCATGTCTGGCGGCGCTGGGATGTTCGCCTGGAACAGGAGCCAGGACCTGTTCGCGGAGCGAACTGCGGCCGAAGCCGTTGGCCGCCGCCTCGTCTCCGGGAAACGCTCGGCCATCGAGAGATTGTGTGGCTGGGGGAGAAGAGCTCGGCGGCGGCGCTCGGGAGAGGGAGGGCCGGGGGAGAAGAGCTCGGTGGCGGCGCTCGGGATAGGTAGCACTCATCAAAGGCGAGCGCGGCCATATATAGCCGCATTGCGTCCGTGTGTACGCGTCCGAGGGACGGGAGGCGTCGGCGCGCCGCCCCGTGACGCACCGCCCGTGAGGAATCAATGGCAAAGCTGACCGGCGGCAGCCTTGCCCTTGATTCCCCGCGGGAAACCAAGGCGTCGGGAGAAGACGAGGCGGGCACGCCGGGTTCGGGTTGGGTCCGCGGCGCCAATTTCGGCCCGAGCCGACGAAAAATGGGCCCTTGGGGCGCGACTGGGCCGAAAAGTCGGGGGCGCGGCTGGAGATGCTCTCACCTGTACTCATATACTGAGTACATTTGACGGAGGGCCCTTGCATCTTGCTTGCCAAACCAGCAAACCATAACGACAGGGCGTGTCGCTCGAACAACAAATCGCTCGCAACGACCCTCGTTGAGCCTGGATCAGCCTGTGAGGTCTGGGAAGGGCAAACGCACCAACAAAGGCAAAAACCTCGCTGTGCTGGGCACAGAGCACAACATACATTGAAGATAGCTTTTCAATTAAACCAACGGCACAGCATGATCGCCGGCCACCGAAACTGATACAGCGTCCGGGGCAGTTTCCAGCCAAATAGACCGGATGCCCGCAACACCACTGACCCCAATCGCCGCTACGGCGTGGGCACCTTATTACAAAGCCCTAAGGCTGAATAAAACCCGACACTTATTAAATGGTTCATGCTCCATCCACAAAGGAGTGCTGATAAAGGTGCCAACGAATGTAAAAGTTCAAAATTAAGGTGCTGAGATAGCTTCTGAATTTCGGCCCCGCGACAAAAAGAATCAACCAATGGTGTTTCTTCACCGGGCATGCTTCCTCGGTCGCCCTCTGGAAGACTTCCGGGGCCTCTTTGCTCGTCCGCTGGAAGATTGCCCGGGGTCTTTCGCTCCAGGAGTATCAACCTTCTTTGCGCTTCCACTGGAAGATTGACCGGGGTCTTTCGCTCCAGTGGCATCATCAGCCTTCAGAGCCCACGCTGGTGCTTCGTTAGGCGCGTAATGGTAATCATAAAAAATCTCCTTGCCTGCATTAATCCGCTCATTGGCGAATATGCCCACCCTATGGTCGCCTGCTACAAACATAACCTTGGCATAGCAATTCGGATCAGGGGAATGGTTGGCAAACTTCAGCTTGTTGCCCATCCTGAAGGCATCGAGAACAAACTGCGTCCAAAGAGTATGCATAAGCAACAGCTAGCGTCTGGATCAGATATAAAATACAGGTTTTTGAATAAACCGAGCTGACAAGGAGAATAACTCAGCTCATGCAAAAGCACTATAGCTAAATCTGGTGATCAGTCCCGCGTGTAACCGTGAATGTTTGCATACTGTAACTGGTATATTTCTGCACATGTACCTCAGTATTTAAGTTGAAAAGGAATGATGAATTCTCACGGTCATATCTCTGTCCACGCTTGGCTGCTTCCCTATGAGAGATAAGCTCCCCAGTGTACTCCCCAAGACAGTCATCCTTGCCAACAGTATTCTGAAGATTGTGGAAAAGATATTCATGCTTTCCACATCATTCTGGGGTACAGAAAAAGAGTGATGAAGAGGATGAAAGGAGCAATTTTACCTTAACGAATGCTCCCCAGCCAGAAACATCAGATCTCCCAAGTACGACCTGAAACAAAAGTCACACTAATTCAAGACCATCAACAGGCCTAAAAAATATATATGTTTGTTCGAAAGAGGAGCAGGACATTCTAAAAGAAAGTGAGTATTTTATTTCCCTAAGAAAAGTGAATATTTATAGGGAGGCATGTGTTTTACCGGGTATCCGATGTGTCGTGTCACAACATTAAGTCAATCGTGAACATAAAAATGCAATTTTCCTTCAATATCTGTTAGTGCCCTTTTAAAAAAACAAAGGTGGCATTATCCAATTTTCTTTTTTCCATTATTTCAGAAGAAAAAATGCTGTCCTCAAAGGCTACTAAACTTCAATTGATGGTAAGAAAAGTTTTTGCTGAATAAAGTATCAGACTTGAATCAAGTTTACGGTATCAGTTTGTTTTAGTATCCTAATTGGTTCATAGCTGGCTCGGAAAACCCATAACCAAGAAAAACCAACGCTCATAAGGAATCAGTTCCTAAAGGGTCTATATGGGATACAGGCTTCAACAGTAATGAAAGGTAGCTCAAAAGAGATCTACTCCCTCTGTTCCAAAATAGATGATCCAACTTTGTACTAAAGTTAGTACAAAGTTGAGTCATCTATTTTAGTACAAAGTTGAGTCATCTATTCAGACCATGGTCTGGTGAAACTATCTATAAGTACAACTGGGTAATGGATTGGACATATGAGCCTGCAGTTATGCACACAAAGTATTTGCTGTCCTTATCTTTATCTTTAGTTTAGTAAGGGACATGATTAGAAGTCATCAAACCAAGTATCGACTCAGAGAAATTATAAACAAGATGTCCACAACATTTGATAGCATAAGTGCATTGTTGTTTACCTTTTGTTGTTGTCTAAGAAGCAGTTTCATGTTCTGACATCCATAATTATCACCTCTTTGGTTGGGGACACCCAATGAACCGTCACCACAACTGTAGGTTAGAAAAGGAACAGTTCAATGTTGTTCTAAAAAACTTATGGAGCAAACCACTTCCACAAGGCACTAATGGAACACCCTTTTTAGCATGACTGGATAACTCTGACTTTATACATCTGAGGTTGCTTTCAAAATTAAGTTACTCAACTGAAGTTGCTGTCCAAGATTTGCTGTTTAACTCTACATACATGCATAACAAATTAACAATTGAAGTAAGCTACAAAGTCAGAAGATTTCCTATCATGACATGATTTCAGAAAGTAACTTTCGAAGTTCAGGTAAATACCCATCAGATATTGTTCTAATTTATTTGCACAGTTATCATTACGTCAGATTTTAGCAGAGGTAAACAAAGTGCATAAACAAATGGGAAACATAGATGTTTTCACCCCCTTTAAACAATGCACTGGTACACATGAGCATTCAATTAACTATGCTAGCAAATGGGCAACATCATATCAAATTAATAGGCATGATGATTGTCAGCTATGGCTGATGGCTACAAATTTATTTTATGAACTTAAATTCAGTCCCATTGTTTAAGCTTTAGTTGCAGAAATGAGTATCTTGAGATTAAAAAAAATTGAGAATAGTAATTTTGAACTACTCTGGTACAGGTTGGATCATAGAGTGCCAAGAACAAAAATCACAAGTCTGTCTAAACAGATCATTAAAAATTAACTACAAAATCTTTCAAAGATTCCCCAGTTGCAGATACATACCCTACCCCACACTTTCTGCACACATCAGGATCACATTCCCTGTCAGCAGCAAAGCATGGGCACTGGCGGCTGCGACACTGAGCCTTTGCACAATTACAGCCTCGAAAACGATTCTTGCACGCTTTCGGACACCTGGAATGCAAAGAGCATAAAATTCCACACAACAAATAACAATCTGTAAATGATGACATAAGGATGAGGATACCAAATTGTTTGCATGCTACCGTATGTGTGTTCATCCGTCTGTATAGCTCATTACAATCATAATTGGAATTTCTCAAATGAAGTAATAATAAGAAATTATCGAGGACCTAAGAGTAGTAGGAGTATTGGATTTCATTCTTTTCTGAGAGTTGATCCATCTATTATGCAGCTTCGTAAAATCTTTTTTGAATCCAATAGCTTGGATATTCTCTATAAAGAGTTCAAGGATGGTAACTTGTCATGAGACAGTAACTCAACTACACAGTACTCAGTCGGTACATTAAGCAATATAACAGAAAATTAAAGCAAACTGCATCTATAAATATATGATACATGTGCAATGATATTCATATCCAGGAGGACAAGCAGCCTCAGTTCACCTACAATAGGACTAACCAAGCATAATCTCTACTATTAAAGTGGAGTCTGCGGTCGTGATGGTACGTCGTGGTCTGGTTTGGTTTCATAAGTTTATTGGTTTCACCTTAATTATGGAGAGTATCATTCTTTCGACGGGAGGATCACATTAATTATGGAGAGTATCATTCTTTGAACGGGGGGATTACGTTAATTATGGAAAGTATCATCGAGTGTTTGATGGGAGGATCACGTTAATTATAGAGTATCATTCTTTGGACGGGGGGATCACGTTACTTATGGAGAGTATCATTCTTTAGACATGAGGATAACGTTAATTATGAAAAGTTCATCGAGTGTTGGACGGGAGGATCACTAGAATATGTATGCCCCCGTTGCAACGCCCGGGAAATTAGCTAGCCTAAACAAAGGATGAGTATCAAACCAAGCCACACTGAAGCAGAGGGCAAACAATATTTCTGGTACCAGCAAAAGTAGGTTAGACCATGGGAGAGATCAGCGATAAATCAATACATAGAAGTAAAATATATCTGTATACTTCAAATGCATACAAACTTAAGCATAATGATGCAAAATTTGTAAAGGAAACCAATTAACTCACCCACAGAATTTCTCACAGCATGTATCATTTTTAAGACATGGACACTGTTTCCCACATGCCGATTGACAACCACATGGATTGTAATGCTGACGAAGCTCACCCTTCATTGCTGCAATCCTTTTCCTTATGAAACGGTAGACTGTAGATCTTGAGGCATGCTTGACCCTTCCTCGCTTTCTAGGACGCCGTGATCCCAGGCCCAACCCATGTCCCTGTGATGTCAACATCGGCAGCACTGACATAAGATACCACCCGGGTGAAAATATATAGAGTAAACTGAAACCTACTTTTATGAATCCTTTAACAAGAGAATCAACACCGCTAAAAACCTCAGATGTGCTGCTGTTCTCAATATAATTCATATACTGAAAAACATCACTGCATGATTTCTCTCCATCAAAAAGGTTCGGAGCAATTAAACAACTGCATGAAAAGAAACCCACAGGTTCAGTCTTATGACTATTAATTCCGGAAAGCAGGGTAACCCTATGACTACAATAATGATAATGGAGAGTGATGATTCGGCCCCCTGAGTTATTTGCTCCCACTGTGAGCAGTAAAATCCCAAGAATAACTTCCGACTGTCAACAATTCAAGAAAAGAAGACAGATGCAAGTGATATGTGCTTGCAAATCTTCATGGAAAATGAGTAGTTTCGCGCCCTATCAAAAAAAATCAGTGCCCTAAAAAATATAAGTGGCAGTGGGACTGTGGAGTTAAAATTTTAAAATTAAATCATTAGTGGAAATATTTTTGTAGTTATGTTTCTAAGCCGATGGTCATAGTCCATACAACTTCCAATAACAAGAATTTTTAAACATTCGATTCTCCAACGTTTTTCCAATCCCCACTACAGCTTCACACTTCTAGGATGATGATGAGGTAAGTAGAAGGCATGAAGAATTATGGATAAACATTACTCATTAGGGATCCATGATCAAAATCTTCCAAATGGCGGAGCATAACCCTTCACACATAACCTTACTTAGTTCAGAATTATGTTGACAGGTTATTCAAAGCTACTCCCTCCGTCCCATAATATAAGAACGTTTTTGAACTAGTGTAGTGTCAAAAACGCTCTTATATTATGGGACGAAGGAAGTACATAGGAACTTTGACCTGACTGGTTGTATAATACTCCCTCCGTAAAGAAATATAAGAGCGTTTACATCACTGAAGTAGTGACCTAAACGCTCTTATATTTCTTTACAGAGGGAGTAGTAAGCAACACAGTAACATTAAATTCAAGGTATAAATTCAGTCATGAGGAGAAAGGTCCAACCTGTTCCTTCCAAAAATCTCCACACCTTTAACTAGAAGCTCTTTCTCAATCACCATCCAGGATACAAGATTGTCTTCTTGCCTGCATATATTCTTATCGACTAATTCTTCCTTCCTAGAACTATCATGACCATCTGTTGCTGAATGCTCATTATTTGTTTCCACCATCAAATAATTACGATCTTCCACTAAAGCTGAGTTATTCTCCATTTGATGTGCATCCTTCTTCCGAGAACTTCTTGTGCTTGGAGAATTATGTTGTGAGTATGCAACTGAATCTTTGTGTTTGGTGGCCTGGCAATATATGGTTTGAGAACAGTATCAATGCAAGTCGGTGCTTATCTTTCGTAATTAAAATTGTCAGAGAAGACAAGCAGCTTTTCAGAAGTCATATACACCATAAAATACGAACCAGCTTATAACAATGAATACCACATGGTACATCATCCATGCTGTTCCAAGGTGATTGCTTTTCTGCCTGTATGAAGAAGGCACAAATAAGAAAAAACACGTAATTTTGGAAATAATTCTGGAACAAAACTTACAGGAAATATTAAATCTTGAGAACACCCGTGTAGTTTGCAATCAAAAACCTGCCAATGTCAGGATGAGAAGAATATTCATCAGCAACAAGAGGCATTACATATATCACATGACGATTGATAGATGAACATACTAGACATCGCCGACAAAAGAGATTATCGAAGGAATCCAATGCTGCAGCCAAATCTTTATCGTGGTAGATATCTTTCAGTTTGGCATTAAGTTTGGACACTTCTTTGGAAGAACTTTCAGTATTCTCTCCTTGTAAGATCTCATATCTGGCCTGTAAAAGTAGGGCTATGTGTGTTATTGTCAATGGTGAAAATGTGAATTGGAAAAGGAAAAGCCCAAATGGCCAGAATGCTATTGAGATTAACTGACTATGAAGAGAAAACTAACCTTTATATCACCAGCAGTCTTCTCAAAACATTGAGCTAGGGTCTCCAGCACTTCATCAGACATGCCACATTCGTCAATGGTCATCCTAACATGAAAGTAGAGGAGGAACATAAATTATTACACCAAAACATCAAAATGCCCAGTGAGAGAAAGACATCTTATAGCAGAAGCCAAAATATATTGTTGATCTATCAAGTTTAAGAAAGATGTAAACTCATCAACAGACTACTCAGATTAGAGGTAGACAGTGTAAACTCGATAATTTTATTCCTGAACAATATGGTAAAAGCAAATCCTGCACCCAGTTTGGATAAAACTAAATAACCTTACTTTTCTGGGGGTCCAAGCTAGGCTAGTTTGATTATGCTCCCACAATGAAAAATAATTAGACAGCAGCAGCAACAGAAGAGACCCCTAGGTAAAAAAGTAAAAAAGCCACACATGTGTAACTTATTGCTATTGAAGTTCTCTACTACATGAAAATGAAGTGGACCTATGCATGCCACAATAATTATAAAAGTGATATTTTGTATTTGCACTACTTTAATACTGTATAAATCTTGGTATATTATGTCTTGTGAAATAAAGTTGTGACAATCTTTAAATTTAAAGTAAAGTGTGTGCAATCTCTAAAGGAAAATACGACAAACTTATTGTTTTAAAGAAAAGTAAGTGCAATAGCAATCATTCAAAAAACTGTGATTCTTAAACCATAGCAGATGTCAGTCACAAATAAGTGCAGAAGTTAAACTAGGTAAGGTAAAGTAATGCAAAAGAAAACAATGGAAACCCCAAGTTTGTTTACCGAATAAAACAATCTTCAGAGCTTTTGAATTCCCTTTTCTCCTCTTCATCCTCAACAACTTCATCTTCACTATCACTGAACATTAAAGCTTCACCACAATGTGCATTGTAGTAAATATTTTGTCGATGAAATGCAGATTGGTCTTCCGTCATCCTCTGGTTCCTGCATGAAACCCCGATATATCTTTTGTCTCAGAAACAATACGAGACCTTACTCTTGCAAAAGGAGAAAAGTAAAACTCTTATGTACAAAATATACTATTAAAATCCCTATCAGCAAACACTTCCATTCAAAGCATGCCCTCAATCTAATCATAAGCTGTTGCTGCTGCTCTCTACCTCAACCGTGCAGTAGCGACACACAGAGATTCAATATTTAATACATCTGCATCAGTTTTGGGGAGGTTGGGAAGTGCCTGTGATATGAAACAGACCTGTCCAAAAACACCCATGTTGTATAAGGTGGAAGGTCTGACACTTTTGGTAGTTCAATTGGCTTATTAGCATTCTTTGCAGTGAGAATTCCACCCAAAGTAGCAGTCGATGTGCCATACGGACTATCTTCTTGAGAACTGCCACCATCTTTCTCAGCAAGGCACAGTTCAAGACCAAGCGTTGAGCACGACGCATCGTCTTGCCTAGGTGTCAGCAGATTCGCGGCTAAACCTGTACCATCCAATGCACTCGTTTGCCAGATTGTTGAAGAACCGCGATTGCTCTGCATAATGGTGCTGAGCTTAATCTTGTTATTCTCTACCATATCCTGGAAAAAAATTTATAACAATCAGACAAATGACACCGGGAATATCTGATTAATAAATGCGGAGGGGAGTACAGAATGTGTGGTTTCAAAGCACCTTAATCTCAGCGGAACGAAGTGTCGCGAACTCATTCTTCAACGAGTTAACATAAGTTGAAACGGAGACCTCGCTTAGTTCTCCATCCGGTATAGCCTCATCATCCTGAGGAACCTGCATTGACAGTAACTTCATCAACACATGCGTAACACAGACTCACATAATGGTTATATGACTGATTAGGGGTACAAAAGTATCAGAGCCGAAAAGAGAGGCGATATTAGACCCCAACCATTAGTTCCACTCAACATTACAGGGGGTCAGGATTCAGGACACAATGCACAACATAAGTGTGGATTTCCATTTTGCAGATAACTCTCAGCTGCTAAGCACAGTAGTGAACTGGGACATACGATCAGGTACTAACGTTATAAATTGAACTCATAATTGCTAAGCAAAACTCCAACGGCAGCTCCTGAATTCGAGAGGGGGGAATACAGGATTACCAACACCCTAAAAAACGAAAGAGATCGGAATGTCGAACACCTCGGCGGCGGCGGCGGCGATGCGCGTTGGAGGCGGAGGGGTTTGGAGACGTGAGGTGTCCGCGGCGACGGCGAGCTACGGTGCGGCGGCAGCCCTAGCCTCTAGGGCACAGAGAAGGATTGGGGATTCGGCGCCCGCATTGGGTCGGAGCGTCGGATTGCAGCCTACACCACTAGGTCTCTCCGGGCCGGACCCCCGGCGCGAGCGGCCGGCGGTTGGCGCCGAGAACCTGTATGTGGCGGTGGCAGCGGCGGCCATCGGACCGGACGCCGAGATGTTCTGCGGCGGGGACAGCGTGCGCACGGCGGAGCGCGGCGGCGGGGTGGTGTACTTTTCAACCTTTTGTGCTGAGCACACAAACGACACAAAACTCTCCTCAAAAAAGAAAAAGGAAAGGAGAAAAAAAAGGAAAAACACAAACGAGACAAAACTGTATGAATTGTAGACGCTAGAGACTAAAGAGCATCTCTAACAAGAGCATCTCTAACCGACACTGTAAACTCGCGGTCTGAAAAGGGTCTTTTTAGACAGCATAAAATGTGTTTTTCGGGCCGATTTTTCCTTGCACGGAATAAACCTTGCAAACGGCACCTGTAAAACCATATATTCCCCACCGCAAATGAATATTCCTGGGTCGTCTTCTACAATTGTTTTCTTGTTCCTCTGGTCGCTCAGCCGGCTACCCGTCCAGGCCGCTGCACGCCTCCCCTAGCCGTTCCCCGCCGCCCCCGACCGCCCGCGTCGTTCCCCGTTGCTCCTGGCCCTGCCCCGCCACCACTATCCCGACCTAGGCCGCGAGGAGTCGCGGGAGGCCAGCACCATCCAAGCCGCCGACATGAACGACCATGGCGGAGATGACGGAGGAGGACCGATCGAGACCCACCAGATCGACGCGTGTGTGGTTGGAGACAGCGGAGAAGGACCGGATGCAACGAATTCCGTCAGATTCCGGACTCCGATGTCGGTCCGGTGACATTTGGGGCAAGAAATCTACCCACAGCCAGCGTTAACCGGTACACGGGGCACCCTCAGTTTGGCCTCCGAGCCTTCAAATACAAGGGTCTCGGGTGTGGGTTTTCGGTGGCTGAAAAATATTTACGAGTTTGACCACTTTTATGGTGTCTATTCTTTACACATTTTCGACCAAAACCTTCAAAACCAAAAATTATAAGGATTTGACCGCTTTTACGCTGTCTGCTAGAGATGCTCTAAGATATAATTCACACAACGCTCTTCTAAAAGCACCAAAGACACACAATGCGAAAATACTCTTGCATAGTTTTTCAGCAACATTGTTTTCTCTCTCTCAATGAATGAAAAGGTCGTTCTAGTTGGCCGTTCGTAAAAAGAATACCTAAAACTAACTTTTACAATAGATTTGATCTTTTGGAAAAAGAAAAACGGAAACTAGCACCTCACCAAGTAGGGGAAATCAGATTCCGCCACCATACATAGAAAGGAGTAAAAAGTATCATACTCGCACCAAAAATCAAACACATTAACCTATGGGAGAATGGCGGCCAACCGGCATGGCCACGTGACGCATGCGGGTTGGCCGTGCCAAGAAACTTTTTGATTTCTTTTGGAAGATAAAATTGAGAATTTTTTTGATTTTTTTTGGAAGGCGAAATTGAGACTTTTTTCTTTTGAAAAAGTTTTTTTGGAGATTATTTTTTAAAGATGGAAGTGAGACTTTTGTTTCTTTTTTATTTTAAGATGTTTGGTAGGCTTTTCTTTTTTCTTTTTGAGATGGATGTGACATTCAGTCGTTCACGCATTGTGAGAAAGTTTTCTTTTTAATTTTGAGATGAAGTTGAGAATTTTTTTTCTTTGAGAGGAAGAAATACATGCACAACTTTGTAGATAGTAACACGTGAAACTTGAGATATCATCCACTATAAACACATAACTAGGGATCGAGATACATGTATAAATTAAAGCAAATTAATTGAGATTTAAACCGAAATCCAACGCGCATCACTAGATCCCGATCTAGTATTCGGGCATACATCCGTCGTTGCAAAACATAGGCATATATCTATTCGTGTTTCCCATCTATTAATGGAGACCGTTGATACCATCCCCGCCTCAGACCACAAAAGATATGAAATAATTGAAATAAACATGCAAACCTCGGTTGGGTAGGGAGACGGATGGGAGCCGCTCCCTGATGCGGCGATCGAGAGCAACGCCATGGCCACACCCACGTCGTGTGGACAAAAGGCTTGGGTTGTGCCTCCTTGCATATCTAGGGCTTGGTCACGCATTCTTTTCCTCCACGGAATGACGTGTTTTTCCATTGAGAAGAGATGAGAGAGGGTTTCGCTACGAGGATCGGCGGGAGAGGAGATTATGAAGGGGGCATGGTTGAATATCTATGGAATTATTTTACTACCCGCCATCCCCGCCGCCACCGCACGGCGGGAGCATGAGTAGGTTAGCGAACTCAAACGTTCCTAAGAGGTGGGACCTAGCTACGTTAACTATTGTGACGTGGTTCAGTATTTTGGCGGAAAATGTAAAACGATGGAGGGTTAACCACAAACCGCGTGAGAATTTACAAGGGCAAAAATGTACTTTGGTGTAACCCCTTTGTCTCACCACATGGCCAGAGTGTTTCCTTCTAAGAATAATGATTTCCTCAAAAAATGCAAACATCAGTATCGTGTAAAACAAAGGAGGGGTAGGTAAGGACGGTTAGTATACCCATGGAAAGTCTACTAACTTTATTGCAATGCCATATTTGTGTCTTGAACATATTCGATTGACTTGTATCTAATAGATACTCCCTCTAGACTATGTAAGGCGAGAGGACTATGGTTATGCGGCCAAGGTGGTGTTTAATTCTCCAGATCGCACTATTGATTTGGGAAAGTAACCCAACTGGATTCATTGCATAAATAGGGATTGATACATGCATTAGTGCCTTGATCCTCTCACCTCATCCATGCAACATAACAACACACATCCAATGAGGGGGGGGGGGGGGGTTACAGGATTAACAATGCCCTAGAAAATGAAATCGGAATATCGAACACCTCGGCGGCGGTGGTGATGCGCGTTTGAGGCGGAGGGGTTTCGGGACGTGAGGCGTTCGCGGCCTCGGTGAGCTAAAATGCGGCGGCGGCTCTAGCCTCTAGGTCACAGAGAAGGATTGGGGATTCGACGGCCGCATTGGGTCGGAGAGTCGGATTGCAGCCTACAACACTGGTTTCTCCGGGCCGGAGCCCCGGCACGAGCTGCCGGCGGTTGGCGTCGAGAACCTGTATGTGGCGGTGGCCGCGACGGCCATCGGACCGGATGCCGAGATGTTCTGCGGCCGGGTGCTTTCAAGAGACAAAACTCTCCTCAAAAAAGAAAAAGAACAAGAAAAAGGGAAAAACACAAACGAGACAAAACCTGTATAAATTGTACACTCTAGAGACTACTACCTTTGTCCTGGTTTATTGGACCCCTTAGTATTTTGTATCAAATTTTAACTATAGATTTGACTAATAAAATAATAATGCATGGCATGAGAAATTATATCATTGAATTCGTATTTGAACATAGTTTCTAATGATATTATTATTTTAAGATATGCATTAACAATTTGTAGTTAAATTTAAGGTCAAAATTTGACACAAAATGCGAAGGGAATCCTTAAACCAGGACGGACGTGGTAAGATATAATTCACACAACGCTCTCCTAAGACTACGAAAGACACACAATACCAAAATACTCTTGCATAGTTTCTCAGCAACATCGTTCTCTCTCTCTCTCTCTCTC